AATGTAATACAATTTTAAAAGTGATGTTTGTCTTATTAGTCATTCAATTTATTAAAAATAGACTGATATTTAAAATACATACCATTGTACATTTAAGTGACATACTTGACAAGAATGGCATTGACACTCAGTGTTACCAAAACATGTATTTAAATATATTTGTCTTTTTAATATTGGAATCGGCAGACGTACACGTAGAAAAGCATTATTTTGTACTACGGCCTCAAACTGCAAACAAAATTTAAATTCGATTAAATAATAAGAATAATATGAAACAAATGGGTGTGTTGTTTTGGTGTTTAGGTATACATTCACTTTGGCACGGGCACATGTATGTGTCTTTGCTGGGCTGTTGTGTATGTATGTGTGTTTGTATGACCATGGAGTTTTCAAATACATCATTAAGTTTCATAGTTATATTAATCTTGGCCAGGCACAGTGGCTCAGGCATGTAATTCCAGCACTTTGGGAGGCTTAGGCAGGCAGATCTTCTGAGGTCAAGGGTTCAAGACCAGCCTGGCAAACATGGCAAACACCCATCTCTATAAAAAATACAAAAATCAAGCAGGCCTTGTGTCATGTGCCTTTACTCCCAGTGCGACAGGGAAATGTGGGATCAGAAATCCCATGCAGAGTTCCTACTGGGGCACCACCTAGTGGAGCTGTAAGAAGAAGGTCACTGTCTTCCAGAACTCAAGACTCAGAAGGGTGGATCGACTGATAGCTTTGGAAAGCTAAGTTCATGATGGCTGTTGGAAAGTCATGAACAGCTTTGAAATGTAAGGACATAATATATGAGAAGTGCTAGGGGTGGAATCATGTAGTTTGGCTGTGTCCCTGCTCAAATCTCATCTTGAATTGTGTATCTCACAATTCCCAGTTATCATGGGAGGCACCCAGTGGGAGGTGATTGAATCATGGAGGCGGTTCTTTCTTGTGCTCTTCTTGTGATACTGGTTGAGTCTCAGGAGATCTGATGGTTTTGAAAATGGGAGTTTCCCTGCACAAGCCCTCTCTTTGCCTGCTGCTATCCCCATGTAAGATATGACTTGCTCCTCCTTGCCTTGCGCCATGATTTTGAGGCCTCCCAAGCCATGTGAACCTGTAAGTCCAATAAACTTTTCCTCTATAAATTACAGTCTCAGGTATGTCTTATTAGCAGCGTGAAAACAAACTAACAGATGAAATATCAATCTCTTAAAATAGTTGTTAGGTCTGCATTGACACAGCAGATTCTAATATGGGAGGTAAAATAAGTAATGCATGGACCTTCAGATATTAAGTCATAGGGTTATTATGGCTGTGTCCTAAGGGAGTGGACCAGAGGTCATATGCACTAGTGGCCATACCTTTGGTAAAGAGTGTTCATGGGTTTCTGAAAGTTTTGATAATTTTAATTTTAATATTGAATTTATTATTTATTTCTTCTTCAACATTTCCAGAAGATTGTTGGCAGTAAGGACAGTGTAGTACTGGAGTGATACTCATGAACTAGAGAGTTATTTTGTAATTATTCTACTGAGATTTGCGTGAGTCAATTGAAGTTCATAGGTCACAAGTTGAAATATCAAAGTAAAGAAGCGTTCATTAACCGTAATGGCTGTGGTTTTTGACAAGGCAGTGCTTCAATTCAGCTAGAAAAAAAGAAGACAACAATAAAACTTTCAAATGCAGGGGAGTCTGGCCTCAGTCTCTCTCTCTCTTATAAAGAAAAAGCTGTGCCACATCACGATTTTTCTTCAAGCCCTCAGATAGAATCAACATTGGGCATGCAAAAGCTGACCACTTTCTCCTTAGTAAAGGCTAAGGTCTGAGAGGAATGCAGAGTTGTGTTCATAAAGAAGACAACATTGTTATGTCTTCTCCTTTGTCGGGCGACTGTGCCCGAGTTGTGTGTTTCAGATGTCAGACATGGCCTATAGGGATGGTTGTGGCTGCATGTGACCGACAGGGATTTAGTCTCTATATCTTTAAGTGCCCTGTCCTAGGAGCACCTACAGGAGTCAGCCCTAGACTGGAAGTGCCCTCACTGACCACCTGCCTCACCTGTGCAGTCTCTGGCCGGTTCAAGTAAGTTATACCCCTGGAACATCTTTTGTCAAAAGTACTCCAACGAGTGTGTATGACCTATGGTTCACATCCTCAAGGAAACAGACATGATCATCCTATGACTTGGTGTCTAGAAGACTCATGCACTTTTAATTTTACCTCCAATGTAAGACTCTACTTTATCACATGCAGATACAGCAGAATATTTTCAGACATTGATGTGTTATGCTGAAAAATTCAGCAGTACACAAAAGCTGCCTTCCCATCATAGCCAGTGGTTACTACTGAATAAGGATCTGTCATCCCCTAGAGAAGAGCTATAATGGGTAGTGTGCACTGTTAGTGGTTATGGCAATCGATCCCTCTTGTGGCAAATGTCAGCATCTTCTTCTTTTATAACATTAAATCGTATTCTATTGTGCATGTATATCACATGGTCTTTATCCATTTGTCTACCTGCTGACACTCAGATTGTTTCCATATCTTGGCCGTTTTTAACAGTGTTTCAATAAACATAGGATGTGATGCAGATATCTTTACAAGGTGGTAATTTCATCTCCTTTGCTTATACTCCCAGAAACAGGATTACTGGTCATATAATATTTCTGGTTTTAATTATTTTAGGAGCCTTTATACTGCTTTCCACAATTGTGGAAATGTAGAATGGTATAGCCATTATGAAAAACAATTTCAGTTTTGAGGTATGATCCATAAACAAATAATGTTTGATTATGGCTGTCAATGAGAGTTTCTACTAGATATAGTGGAAGTTCAGGAAGATTCCTCACCTTAAAGCAGGGATGGATTATGAATTTGCCTCTTATTTCCTAAAAGCAAAAGATTGGTAGCATGGATGATGGAGGTTGTTGGAAGGTTTCAGGATGATCTCATAAGAGGAGAATCTGTTAAAATCTGATAAAAATCTGAAAACAATGTTGGGTTTTCAGTCCTATACATACCTACACTCAATAAGAAACAGTGAAGTTAAGTGAGGATCCAGAACACGTTCACTGGAAACAACAGCACGTTCTCAAAGGCACCAATTGCTACATGGCAAGGGGGATGAACTTTTGAAACCAGTAAAGTGTGAGTGCACAGTAAGTGATAAAGTTATCACGTTTACAAGAAGTTTGTTTAATGTGCCAAGGGTTTGCACAGATTAATCATACACAACTAAGCACAACGTATTTTTGCATACATAGATGTCTGGAGAAAAGTCCTCTTAGGGAAACTTCTTCAGGTTACACAAATCTGTGTAAGTTGTAGATCTCATGGGGAAGTGTCTCTTTATGAATACTGGTCTGTTTTACAAGTCGGGAAATATTATCCCTGTTGGAGTAGGCTTCCAATTGTGTACATTTCTTAATTGCTTCTTGAGTTGTAACAAATGAACCAAAAAAATTGATGAACTGAAGTTTTGTGGCTGTGTTGATAAAACTTTCTTATAAACTTTCTTTCAATTATTTGAGAAAAGTTTTCCTGATTTTCTTTTTCTCCAACAGATAAATTTTTACAAGATCTCAGGAAACCACCTCTCAGGCGCTTTAGTTTAAAGGAGTCGCTTCCTGGGTAAAGAAGCTCCTGTCTAACAATGATGAGATCATTTATTCTGCAAAACATCAGGTTTGAGACCTCCTTGCCAAGAATCATGAAAATTTTAACTCCAGTTTACTGAAAATCATGAATCTCAAACTTAATATTGATTAGCATTGACAAAAATGATGACTCTCCTGTTACCCACATCCATGGAGATAGATTATTCATTATATAACTCACCAAAGTAATGTCAAATATCCAAGTTGCAATACTGCACACACTAAAATATGTTCATGCGAATCAATGGAGGAGAAATTCTTTCAGAGATAGATGGATCTGAATTGGTAAATATGTGGGTAAGGACTCTGGGCTTGAGCATCACTGTCCAGCCATGTTTCAAAGGTGTGAACCATCAGGGAAGAACCAGAGCTCCTTGTACTCTCAGAGGGGAGGGCTCACAGAGGTCCTCTCTGGTTCATGGGAAAGGTAATTGCAATAATCTTCATGATTGTCATGAGACTATCCGGCAGTGCTGACCCATTATCGAATTTTTGTCTAAAGTTGTCACTGCAATCCTCAATTTACATATTTTACAAGAAGTGTTTAGAGGTCAGGTCACATCATCAAGGTCACACATTGAGGAGGATGGAGATATGCCCCACTATCTTCTCAAAAGGTCTCAGACAGAATCCTACATTTCAAAAGGTCACAGAAGGACAGCTGTCAGGTGCTTTTTTAAAATGACCCACTTCCTGGGACAGGAGCTTCCCTCTAACCATGATAGATGTTTGAAACTACAATAAAACATTGGAAGGATCCAGGATTCACTGTCATTATTACAACCTGATGCTGTTCCAATATGTCTGAAGTGGTAAATGAGAATTTAGATGACCTGGGTGTGTGGTTGGTTTTATATCAATTTTTAAAGGTAGAACAGCATTGACCCTATTCCAAAATGTGTCCATGATCCATGATCACACTCATCTCCCAGACCAGCTCCTTCAGCACATCTCCCTACCTGGAAGAAGAGGACTCTGGGCTTGGTGAGGGGAGGCCACAGGAAGAGAACTGAGTTCTCAGAGGGCACAGCCAGCATCCTCCTCCCAGGGCGAGCCCAAAAGACTGGGGCCTCCCTCATCCCTTTTCACCTCTCCATACAAAGGCACCACCCACATGCAAATCCTCACTTAGGGACCCACAGGAAACCACCACACATTTCCTTAAATTCAGGGTCCTGTTCACACAGGAAATGTTCTCTGAGAGTCACGGACATCCTGTGCAAGAACATGAAGCACCTGTGGTTCTTCCTCCTCCTGGTGGCGGCTCCCAGATGTGAGTGTCTCGGGGATGCAGATATGACGATATGGGAGGCTACTTCTGAGCCTAGAGCTCACCGTGGGTCTCTCTGTTCACAGGGGTCCTGTCCCAGCTGCAGCTGCAGGAGTCGGGCCCAGGAGTGGTGAAGCCTTCGGAGACCCTGTCCCTCACCTGCGCTGTCTCTGGTGGCTCCATCAGCAGTTACTGGTGGGGCTGGATCCGCCAGCCCCCAGGGAAGGGGCTGGAGTGGATTGGGAGTATCTATGGTAGTGGTGGGAGCAACTACCTTAACCCGTCCCTCAAGAGTCGAGTCACCCTGTCAGTAGACACGTCCAAGAACCAGTTCTCCCTGAAGCTGAGCTCTGTGACCGCCGCGGACACGGCCGTGTATTACTGTGCGAGAGACACAGTGAGGGGAGGTGAGTGTGAGCCCAGACACAAACCTCCCTGCAGGGAGGCGGAGGGGGCGGGCGCAGGTGCCGCTCAGGACCAGCAGGGGGCGCGCGGGGCTCACGGAATACTAGGCCGGCTAAGGAGCTGGGTCAGGAGCAGGTGCAGGAGCAGGTGCAGGGTGGGCGGGGCTTCCTCATTTGCTCAGCGCTCTCCCTCCCCGCCAGCACCTCAGCTTTCTGTAGGGCTCCTCTTTCTTTATTATCTGTGGTTCCACTTCTACACATCCTTGTGCCAGGAAAGAAACGAGGAAGGCAAATTTTCCTCTTACAACTGAGGTTTCACCAATTACTAGGAACTTTCCTACAACTTCCTGCATGGCCCATTACACCTTATTGATATATATATATATATACTAATGCTTCTCCCCATCTCTTGATTTGTGTCATCAATTTAATTGTGCCCTTTCTGAAATTCATGTGCTGAAATAATTATATAATTAAGGTTAAATGTGATCATAAGTGAGACCCTAATGCAATAGACCTGTTGTCTTTATAAGAAAAGGAAGAGATACCAGAGACCTCTCACTTTTCACGTGCACACGAAGAGGCCACGTGGAGACATAGTGCCCTAGAAGGTGGGCCTCTGCAAGTCAGGAAGAAGCTGCACCAGAAACCAACCCTGCTAGCACCTTGATCTTCGATATTCAGACTGCAGAATTTTAAGAAAATCAATATTTGCTGTTTAAGCCACCCACTCCTGTTGTCTTATGAAGACACAGACAGACTAATACCACACAATTCTATTAGCTCTGTCTCCTGGAGGGAGAAGCAGCCCCCTGAGGCTGGGCATATCTCTCAGATTTCTACATAAAGTAGGCAAAAAATAGTAGCTGTGGTATAAAAACTTGTCATGTCCCTGTTGGCCATTTTCTGGACAAGGTCTTTTAAACAAGCCCTGGGGCTTTGTCACAAAAGTTGTCTTTTATCCTTTATTAGGATATAACTAATGGACAACGAGTACCAGCTGGATGGAAACTGACCACTGACCATCTTCTGCTGTCTCGTTATTATATCACAGAAAACCACACCAACATCACTCTATGTCTCCAACTTTCTAAATTTGCACTGAATCTATTGCTAAATGAGGAGCTACATGGGGTCTGCGTTTTGTTACCTTCTTCCCAGTCTTCCCCAATTACCAAGGGCAGAAGATACTTTCAGCGAAATTTGGCTGTCAATGCCCTCAACACCACATCACTTTTTAAGGTCCAAGGACTTTATTTGGGGGACTAGTGAAAAACACTTTTAAATGGAAAACCCTAAAGCACATACAACAGCTGAAGGAATGGCCCCTGTGCACATGAATGCTGAAGAGATCGATGGTAGGGTACCTTCCTCCAAGATGTTCCTGGGTATGTGATGGTTGGATGCCTCATGCATAGGAAAAGAAGGATTGGACTGAGGTAGAAACAAGGACCATATCCTATAGGAAAACAAGAAAAAAATGGGCATCTCTAAAGAGAGTTAATCAGAGTTGGCGAGTTTAAGACGAATTTTTTTCCAAAGTTTTTTAATGTTCTAAGCTAAATATGAATATTTTCAATAAATTGCGAATTAAAAGGAGAATGAATTTAGAAGTTGAGAGAGAAAAAAGTCATGAGAGTGTAGAAAGCAAATCCACACAAAACTGTCACATAACAGAGGCCAGAATGGAGCTGATGCAGCTACATAATTATTCTGCAGACCTAGTTGAGACCCTTTGGTGTTTAAGGCAGGCCCAGCGGTGAAGAACTCCTTTAGTTTTTGATTGTCTGGGAAAGTCCTAATCTAATTTTCATTTCTGGAAAGGATTTACATGGTGAAGATTCTTCTTGGCAGAGTTTTGTTTATTTTTAGCATCCCCCCCCACCGCCGCCCCACCGCCAATTTGAGTAAAGTCGTGTGTCACGTACAATGCTGCAGTCAACAATAGACAACATATATGTTTGTGGCCACATATGTTGTAATAACATATTTTCACTAAACTTTTTCCACGTTTAGATGTGTTTAGGTAGAGAGATACTTACCACGGTGTTTCAGTTTCCTGCAGTGTTCAGTGTAGTAACACGCTGTACAGGTTAGTTGTCTGAGAACACTGTGCTATTCCACATAGCCTATGTGTAGCAAGGTATTTCGTAGGTTTGTGCAAATGCACCTTTGATGCTTCCACAATGATGAAATTACCCAGGGACACATTTCCCAAAAAGAACCTTTGCCGTTAAACCACACACCATTGAATGTAATCCATGTCCCTTCTGAACTGAAAACCTTCTGCTGAGAAATCTGTTCTTTTTCTTTCTGTTTTCTAAAACCTCTTTTATTTTCAGCAATGTGGTTTTAAACTGAGTCACATTTTTTTGTCATTGGGTTTATCTTATATAAAATTTATAGAGCTTCTTTGTTGTGGATGAATATTTGCTTCCCTTCTCCAAATTTGGAAAGATTTTTTGCTATTATTTTGAATAATTTATCTTCTCTCTCTCTCTCTTTCTCTCTCCTCCTCTCTTCCTTCACTACCCCTTTTGTCTTATCTCTGTATAACTCCTCAAATGCATGATTTAGTGTTCAGTATCTTTCCTGGCCCATAGTCTTTAACTCTTTTTTATTTCTTTCATTTAAATTTTTCTTCTCTGTCTCTACTATTTCAAATGATCTTTCTTTGAGTTTACTGTTTCTTCTATAACTTGACCTAGTTTGTTCTAAAATCCTCTGTTAAAATTTTGGGCTGACTTATTGTATTCTTCAGGATCAACATTTTTGTTTAATCATCTTTTAAATGTTTTATCTTTATTAAAATTCTCCCATTGTTCTTGCATGCTGCCACTAGCTCATTGAACATGTTTCTAACATTTACTTTAAATTTTCTTCCAGGTAATCCATGCGCTTCCTTTTCATTGATGTCTGTTTAGGACCTTTAGGTTGTTCTTCTGTTTGGTCCATGTTCCCCTGCTTCTTCATTTTCCTTGACTGTCTTTGTTGTTCTTTATAACAAAAACCATCATACACTTCTTCAAAGACTAGGCTTATAGAGATAACCCACACCAACCAGCCCAGACAGTAATTTTGAGTCTCTCAAAACTTCATAGGGTTCAAACTTCTCTCTCTGTTCTTAATGGTCCTGAGGTTTTAGAGAATGATAGACTGTGCCAGGACTCACGGTTAGGGGAGGTAGAAACTATCTATTCAAGCAGCCCCTTGAAAAGTTGGACCATTGGACACAGTTTTATTTTTGAATTATAATTCATCAAAATAATAGTTCAAGCTTCTCTCAACCAGTCATTAAACATTGAAATTTTATAATTTCTTATTTGCACCTGGAGTTTTTGTTCGAATATTTATGTCAAATTACAAACTAGTTTAAAGCTGCCTATTTGGCAAAATGATCTGCTGCAGAATTTTCATTTTCTGTCTCTAGACTGCGGAAAAATATCTTAAAGTTCCTTAATTTGCTTAATTTAATGGGGTTTCCAGAAAATGTGAAAACCTCCTTTATTTTTAAAATACCTGAGTCCACGTTGGTCAATAGTTTCCTCTTTAATGTACCTCTCTCTTCTCACATTATCTATAATAGGCAAGGAGAAATGAAGACACACCATCAACAGTTTGCTTACATATGCCCTAAGCTAAATTTGTAAGTGTCGCTTACTAATTCTAATTTCATCCAACGTACTATAATTTAGATAAATTATATAACAAGGTACACATACTTTCCTGTTCTAATGCCATGTTTGTGATGGAAACAAAGCAGGTGTGCCCTCTGCAAGGAGGTCATCTGAGGTGTGAGATGAAGGGTCACACAGGTATTTTTCTGGTTTCTAAGGGTGATGAAAATAATAGTGATAACAATTCTGAAGAGCACTAGCTCCTACCTGAAAGGTTACAGATAAAGTTAGGGCTGTTATTTCATATTAACAGCTTATTAGAATAAAGCTTCAAGGGAGGGGCCGCATCGTAGGTCACCGGTTGAGGAGAAATTGAGCTGTGCTCTGCTCTCCACTCTATGTACAAGATCCCGGGCAGAAGCTCAGGTTCAACTGATGCATGGCTGCTAGAGCACAGCTCTCAGGGGATGATGTTAGGGCACCTGCTTCCTGGGGCAGGGCGCTTCATTCTCTCAATTGTGCACTTGCTCCTTCTGCAGACTCTGAAGTGAGCACTTGATTGCCATGACTTATACATGTTCTCTCCCCTAACATGGCGCAAATGTATTTATTGAATTTTCAATTTCATTTTCTCTGAAGCCTATTGGGTGAGCAGAAAGAAATAAATTACATTCTTATCCCCCCACACAGCCAAAGATTCCTGAAGACAGAGCTGATGTGATGTACTCATAGGTGGATCTCTGCCTCTCAGACGTGGCCTTGGTCTTCAAGTTTCAGCAATTCTGGGAAGCCAAGGACACCTCCATCTCCTCCTCCCTGCTCTGCAACTCACCCGAGAACAGCTTTCTCATTGGAATGTCTTGTGTTTAAGGAATAAGAGTCCCTGTTTCCAGTTTGGGTGCCCAGGTGCGCCTACTGGATCCAACCCAGGATTGGAGATACTTTCCAGAACAGAACATCATCTGAGACATGACCAGTCACACTGCTTCACTTTCACAATTTCAGCTTCCTCAGAAGAAAATTGAAATTGCTGAGACTTTTTCATAAGCGTTCTGCCATGTCCTTTCTCTGTTTTCTTGCCTGTTCATATGTCAGACATGCCACGTATATGTAATAAGGTCAGAATTCTGCCTCCAGTGTACATCAAAGGTGACCTTTGATTGTGCTTTTGGTTTATGCTCCAACATGTAGATTCTGCTGGACTTTCCCTCAATAAATCTCTAGATTTTAAAAGATACAATTCAAATACATTTTCTCTGGGTCAGAATTGGAGAGGATTATTTATTCAGGAATATACCAGGAGCCTTCTCCAAAGGTTCCTAAGGGGAAGAACATTTGCAAAATCTTACCCTATGTGAGGGAAGAAGAAAAATCTCCTGCATGCACTTCCCAAGTCTCCACTTGTATCCTGTTTGCTTTAGATTTCTAGGAGAAAAATCTAGTGGGCCTAGTGTCATTGTAGGAGGCACTTTGTATTAGGCTAGACACTAATAAGAAGGGAAAAATTGTGTTATTAGAATTGTAAATAGAGATTGACTTTAGTCTGAAAGTAGCTGCACCTGCAGAAATTCTGAGATGCAACATTCAACTACAAGAACCCAAGGAAGAAACAAAGCACTCCAAAAACTCCTGCAAAGTTTTTGGATTCATTGTGGGTTCACTGATTCAGTGCATCTGGAGCTTCAGAGAAGAGGCTCCCTCCTGTGTCACAGAATCCTTGCTTTGGGTCTCCCTGCAGAGTTCAGTAGATTTAGTAAGGCTAATCGATTGTTTCAAGAGATGGTGTCAGAAGCATATGGTGTCACTGAAGGAGCATTCTAAACTAGAACACAGCCACTTCATGCTGGACTGGAGATGCTGGGGGGAAATGCTTTGTGAGTCCTGACAGGAACCTTCTTGCAAGGCAAGAGCCAAGCTGGAGGGGACGCTCAGGAGCCACACAGCACAGGTTCCAGCCCCAGATCAGGTGCACAGGAGGCTTGGGAGGACGTTTCCTCTCAGAGTTTGTGTCTTCCTTTATCAGAAAAACAAACAAACAAAAACAAACAAAACTGTTCAACAAGTTGCTGACTTGCCTTTACGTAAGCCATTATATCGTAACCATTCCGACAACTTAAGGCGATGAGAACTTTTCTATTTTATTTTTTATTTTAAGTTCCAGGGTAAGTCTGCAGGATATGCAGGCTTGTTACATAGGTATTCGTTTGCCATGGCAGTTTGCTGCACCCATCAACCAATAACTTAGGTATTAAGCCCGGCATGCATTAGCTATTTTCCTAAGGCTCTCCCTCCCCCAACCTCACAAAGATATTTATAACTAGAAATCCACTTTAAAAAATAGTTCTCATTCAATACCGAAGACACGGAATGAGAACTATTTTTTAAAGTGGGTTTCTAGGATTATAGATATCTTAATAGTGAGAACATGAAAGATGGGAATGATTTTACTAATTCAATGTGTACAGAATTGTTGGAGACACCATATTTCTATGAATAAGGAACTAAATTTCAGTGTTAAGTAATGTTGCCTACATTGTGTGAGTGACAGTACAGAGGTGGATCTGACAGTGCAGCAGGTGCACAGACCAAGTGAGTAAGAAATTAATATGTAAAGATAGGGATCTATGGATATGAGCTGAAAGTATGTAAATA